AGGATAGAAGAAGCAACAGGAGAGAGCTAGCAGTGCCACTTTGGCTCTCTAGAAATGTTATAGGAAAGAAGTGAGCCATGCGGAGCTGCGTGGACTCACTGAGAAGTAAAAGTCACAGTGATAGAAGTGGGCCAAGGCCGGGCTGCTTTCAGTTCACTGAAAAGTTGAAGAAAACGGGCCTTGGAGACAGGTTTAAGGGATTAGGCCAGGACAAGCTGCTGCCGCCCACTGCTTCCCTGGTTGCAAGTCTGGTGGAGACCCATAGAGTTTAGGAGAAAAAAAGTAAAGTTCCCATCTAAGGTCCTGCTAAGTCCTTTGTTATGAGGGTTCTTATCTGTTTTCTAAAGGCCTGAATCCTAGGGGGTGCTCTAGGAGAAGGTCTCAGCAGAATATTCATCAGTTTTCCAGGTGTGGTCCTTGAAACCAAGGGAAATAATTGGCTAACAGGAGGGAGAATGATTCAATACCATGTTGTTGGATAATTCTAGCATCACTATAAAAAGTTGTTGGGGAATAAAAAAAGACCCTGAATAGCCGCAGCAATCTTGAGGAAGAAGAACAAAGTTGGAGGGATCACAATACCAGATATCAAGCTATATTACAAAGCCACTGTTCTCAAAACTCCCTGGTACTGGCACACAAGAACGGACATATAGGCCAATGGAACAGAACAGAGAACCCAGAAACCAACCCAAGCCATTATGTTCGATTAATATTTGACAAAAGAGGCAAGAGCATACAATGGATTCAAGATAGTCTCTTCAATAAATGATGTAGGGAAAATTGGACAGATGCATGCAAAAAAATGAAACTATATCACCAACTTACACCATACCCAAAAATAAACTCAAAATGGATAAAGGACTTAAACATAAGATGGGAAACCATAAAAATCTTAGAAGAATCCATAGACAGCAAAATATCACACATATGTTATAGCAATATCTTCACCAATACAGCTCCTAGGGCAAGAGAAACTAAGGAGAAAATAAACAAATGGAACTACATCAAAATAAAAAGCTTTTTCAAAGCAAAAGAAAGCATCAACAAAACAACAAGGAAGCCCACTGCATGGGAGAATATGTTTGCCAATGTTATCTCTGATAAAGGCCTAATCTCCAACATTTAGAGGGAACTCATACATCTTAACAAAAGGAAGATAAGCAATCCAATGAAAAAATGTGCAAAGGACTTAAATAGACATTTTTCTAAAGTGGACATACAGAAGGCCAAGAGACATATGAAAACATGCTCAAAGTCACTAATCATCCAAGAGATGCAAATCAAAACGACAATGAGATACCATCTCACACCTGTCAGAATGGCTATCATCAACAAATCAACAAATGACAAGTGCTGGTGAGGATGTGCTAAAAAAGGAACCCTTGTGCACTGCTGGTGGGAATACAGACTGGTACAGCAACTGTGGAAAACAGTACGGAGTCTCCTCAAAAATTTAAAATGGAACTCCCAGTAATCTACTCCCAATAATTTGACCCGTAATCCCACTTCTAGGAATATATCTCAAGAAATCAGAAACACTAATCAGAAAGGACATATGCATCCCTATGTTCATAGCAGCACAATTTACAAGCTAAGATTTTTGGAAACAGCCTAAGTGCCCATCAGCAGATGAGTGGATTAAAAACCTATGGTACATCTACATAATGGAATACTTTGCTGCTGTAAAAAAGAAAGAACTCTTACCATTCGCAACAGCATGGATGGGCATGGAGAGCATTATGCTAAGCGAAATAAGCCAGTTGAAGAGAGATAAATATCACATGATCTCACTCATTTGTGGAATATAATGAGCAACATAAACTGATGAACAAAAATAGATCCAGAGACAGAGAAGCATCCAACAGATCACCAAACATCAGAGAGCAAGCAGGGGAGGGGGAAGAGGTAAGATCAACTAAAGGACTTGTATGCTTGCATATAAGCATAACCAATGGACACAGACATTAGGGAGGTGAGGGCATGTGCTGGGGGTGGGGTGGCCAGGGAGAGGTCAATGGGGGAAAAAGGAGACATGTAATAATATACGTAACAATTTAAACAATAAAGAATTTTTTTAAAAAGTTGTCACACTGCCCTGGCCGGTGTGCTAAGTGGTTAGAGCATCGGCCTGTGCACCAAAGAGTCACGGGTTTGATTCCCGGTCAAGGGCATGTACCTGGGTTGCAGGTTTGATCCCAGGCCCTGGTCAAAGCAGCCAATCAATGTGTCTCTCTCACATCAATGTTTCTCTCTCTCCCTCCCCCTCCACTCTTCCTCCCTCCCTTCCTTCCACTCTATCTAAAATAAATAGAAAAATATCCTTGGGTGATAATTAACAAAAGTAAAAATAAAAAGTTGTCACACCTTCTATCTTGCTACTTCATTGCCAACCTCCTTTGAAGCCTCAGGTCATAACTGTGTTGAAAGAGGTTTAAGGAGACTCCTACATGTAAGGGGTGGATAAATGAACATAGTAAGGTTTTGTTCCTCAAGGACGAGCTTGGAAAATAGTAAAAGAAGCCCATGATTTCACGCATTATGGAAAGGAAGCACTCTATACATGGTTTGAGTAACAGTGGCCCCAAGCATGAGAACAGTCATTAATGGTGTCGTGGCTAGCTGCGCCAAAGGACAATGCATGTACCAGACCTCCATTATCACCTTTAAGTCAGGCAGTCCAGTCCCAAGGAATGTTACCTAGAGAAGATGGACAGGTAGACTTTGCAGAATGTCCAGGAAAAGGATTTAAATACTTATTGGTGTTAGTAAATACCTCTACTGGATAGGTTCAGGCATTCAAATGCTGAACTGGAAGGAGCAAAAAGTTGTAAAGTCACCTTAAGGAAATAATACCTAGGTTTGGACTCCCCCAGGGCCTTTCAAAGTGACAATGATCTGGCTTTCACACTGGCCCTAAGAAAGGGAGTAGCACAAGCTCTCCAAATGAAGTGAGTCTTATATTCTTCATGGAGCCCACAGTCCTCAGGAAAAATGGAATATTCTATAATAATGAAAGGGTACTATGCTAATTAGACTGGACGTCTTCCGGACGTTATTCTGGATGTCCTTCCTGACGAAGCCGGGGCCGAAGGAAGCCAGCCCGGGTCCCAGGTGCCTGTGGGTGGCCTGGGGGGAGCCAGCTGGGGTCCCGGGTGCCTGCCTGCAGCCGGAGGAGGGAAGCCCAGGTCCCGGGTGCCGAAGGGAAGCTGGTGCCAGCAGCCGGGGGAAAGAACGCCTACTCTTGCACAAATTTTCGTGCATCGGGCCTCTAGTGATGTAATAAAATACTCAAAAGGACCTTGGCCAAACCCTGCCAGGAAACCCATGAGACCTGGCTTAAATAACCACCAATTGCCCTGACCCAAATCAGGGCAGTGCCCAAAGGAATGATTAAAGTAAATCATTTTAAACTTATGTATTATAGGCCCTTTTTGGGTTCCTCTCAAATTTTAGGATACCCGGACCCATTTATAACACAGGCTGTTAAACATATTATTCAGCTAGGAAAGGTAACAACACAAATAAATATGCTAATTTGATTTTACTCATACCATAATACTAGCTACACCCATATGATCCAGGGAACTGAGTATACTTTAAAATCTGGAAATCAGGGTCCCTGCAAGACCAACCAAACCCAATATGGACAAGTCCTCATTTGGAGTTATTCACAATTCATTCTCCTAAACTACAAGATATAGCTTCCTGGATACATTCCTCTAGGGCAGCGGTTCTCAACCTGTGGGTCTCGACCCCTTTAGGGGTCGAACGACCCTTTCACAGGGGTCGCCTAAGACCATCAGAAAACACATATATAATTACATATTGTTTTTGTGATTAATCACTATGCTTTAATTATGTTCAATTTGTAACAATGAAAATACATCCTGCATATCAGATATTTACATTACGACTCATAACAGTAGCAAAATTACAGTTATGAAGTAGCAACGAAAATAATTTTATGATTGGGGGTCACCACAACACGAGGAACTGTATTAAAGGTCTCGGCATTAGGAAGGTTGAGAACCACTGCTCTAGGGTTAATCAGCTATATACCACTCAGTGAGAACAAAGAATTAGATCCACACACAACTGAATGTTATTCAGCCATGAGAAAAAAAGGAAATCTTGTCATTTGCAACAATATGGATGGACTTTGAGGGCCTTATGCTAATGAAGTAAGTCAGACAGAAAGACAAATACTGCATAATCTCATTTTCTGTTTTACAGTAAGGACAGGTGACATTTCGTTTTCACAATAGTATGGACGTAGGCCAATGGAAGGGAGTCCTTGTTTTCTCACCTAGAGAGATGGGAGAACCAGGCCCCACCTGACAGATGACTGCACCGATTTCCAGAGGAAACCCTTGCAAGTAGTGCTTGCACGTTCCTTTTGGGCTCTGCCTTCTTTGGGAAGCTCTGCATTTCCCCCTCAGCTTTCTCTGGATTCGACTCTTAACAGGTGAATAAGACACAGCCACTGCCTCAGGAGTTTACAAAGCAACACATGATGAGTGCTGCAGCCTGAAGAATGAAATGCTTTCGAGCAGCGGTTCTCAACCTGTGGGTCACGACCCCTTTGGCGGTCGAACGAGGGGGCGCCTAAGACCATCCTGCATATCATATATTTACATTATGATTCATAACAGTAGCAACATTACAGTTATGAAGTAGCAACGAAAATAATTTTATGTTTGGGTCACAACATGAGGAACTGTATTTAAAGGGCCAGAAGGTTGAGAACCACTGCTTTAGCGATTCCCAGATTAAAAGGGAATGGGAGGGATGGCTTGTCAGGGGATCAGCAATAATATGGAGACATGCAAGTGTGTAATACAAGGAGCACCTTGACAGGCAAGCATACTACACAATGTTTATTTTTACATAATAAATAAGTGGCAAAGGGAATACAGGAAAGGAAATATTCATGAAATCGAAGTCACTAAAGTGCTTTCCAACATAAATTTTAAAAGACCAAGGAACCTGGTCTGATCTTAAAACACTGTTTATAAATAATCAACAATTATTTAGATATGGTCCATGTTATTTCCAAAAGAAAGGGGAAATCATGCTTTGTTTTTTTGTTTTTTACGAACTCCAACACACATAGCATATCAAATGAAACTCAGGAGAATGCAAAATTATTGCCTGGTGAGAAAATCGAACTGTCTGAAGTCAAGTTCAAGATAAAGGTAATATAACTCATTCATATGTCTGCATGGGGTCTTCACTATCTATGAAGACATCTGATTCTCTGGAGGTTAAGTAATTTTATATTTTTGAGTTCAGAGTGAGGATATCAGACCTAACCCATTAATTGAACCAAATCTCAAATGATGCCCAGCAGTGAAAATGCTGTTTGAATGAAAATCTTCCCTCCTCAAGTTCTACAGAAGACAATAAAATGTTTATACCACATTAACTGGTTCAAGTGCCTTTAAGGAGTATTTCCACTCTAGAGCAAAACAGAGTTTTTCCCAAGTCACCCATTCGTCTTCTTAAAACAAATGGCATTGAATTTTATCCTGACACTAGCAGGAAACCCAACTGAGATGATTTGTCCTGGACAACTTCTGTTTTTTGAAAAAGCCAAAGTGAAGAATGTCCAACCTTTGAGGGTGGGACCTGTGGGCCTCAGAAGGCTCCCACCTTCCTAGGCTGGAGCCTGTCTGAATCTTGAGCATTGGCCCCCTGGTGCACCGTCTTGGTTTCCTGCCATGTGGAGCTGGAGAGATCAATGGCAACATCTTCCAAGTTACTCTCAGGACTGGCTGCATTGACGACGCTCTGGGATCTTGCCTGACTTGGACTAGAACCTTCCTTGAGGTGGTCAGGGCCCCAGAATCCAGCCAGCTTTTCTTCATTTCCAGGTTTCCTTATCACCCCTGTGGATTTTTTATGCATCCCTTGCAAAAATAGGAAAAGGGGGGAAAACAGATATCTTTAAAGTCAGCAATTAATTTCTCTTATGATCTTTTTCTCTAAGTCCCGTTAGAATTGCCCTTGTCAGTACTTATGCATCCCTTGCAAAAATAGGAAAAGGGGGGAAAAACAGATATCTTTAAAGTCAGCAATTAATTTCTCCTATGATCTTTTTCTCTAAGTCCCATTAGAATTGCCCTTGTCAGTAACTCTCTCTGGCTCCTCAGGAGAGTCACGTAGGTAACTCCCACTGGTGGGGGTTGGAAGCTGGTGTGTGCCAGCCAGATGCAGCCAGCAAAGTTGCCTCATTTAGATGACATAGGGACTTTTAAAATTTTATTTTGAAAATTGTTCACAACATTTTAAAATCAGGAGATTATACATCAAAAGCCAGACTTCCAACTTCTCTCAAAAAGTCAGAAGGTCTGGCAGCACTGGGTCCAGTTTCTTGTATGGCCATGGACCAGCAGATGCCAGTAGGTACCCCCCACCCACCCACTCAACCCCTGGTCCTATAAGCTCAGAGGGGTGAGCTTCCTTCCCCACTGAATTTCCTCTCTCTCAGCTTCTTCCTTACCTAGGAGCCAGGGCGCACAGAAACCGGCCAGGCTGTCCTCGGCGGAGTTGAGGACAGAGTCGGGCAAAGGGATGCAGTGTCGCACCATGGCCCCGTAGAGCCCATACTCGGCCATCACGCTGCTGCCGCCCCAGCGCTTCTCCTGCTTCCGCCACTTGGCCCTCCGATTTTGAAACCAGACCTGGTATGAGGCAGGACACACTGTGACTAGGGCGCTTGGAGGTGTCTCTGAGTGGGGAGTTCTTAAATGGGCCAACTCGGGGAGCTCATAAGACCCAAGACCTTTCAGTAACTGTGCCCACTGTTCACTCAAAACTCACAGGGACTCATTGTGGGGTAATGTGTGACCACTTTCCACTGAAGTTTTCCATAGAGTTGACAAAAACAAAATTAAAGTATTCTTCCCCACATAGTGCGAAGGAGTCAACTATAATGTTTTCTGGTTTTTCTCATGGTTTGGAAAGAGGTCACTCAGTCAATGAATGGCCCATTCTAATCTCAGGTTGTTGGGTTGCTGGTGATATTTCTCATAGAAAACTGTTAGCCTAATAAAGGAATAGGATGAAATATTATTTAGCTATTAAAAAGAGTAGTTTGTGGCATATCTTCTGACCTGGACAAATGTATGTTGGGTTGCTGGTGATATTTCTCATAGAAAACTGTTATCCTAATAAAGGAATAGGATGGAATATTGTTTAGCTGTTAAAAAAGAGTAGTTTGTGGCAAATCTTCTGACCTGGACAAATGTCCAAGATGTGTTGTCAAGCAAAGAGGCAGAGTTGTATAATATGATACCTTTTTGTAAAAACAAGACAAAAGTCTACATGTATGTGAGTGTATACATTGTTCAGGGCCAGATATATATGCCATGGAGGCAATGGCCAGAAAGGCCACATCAGGCTACTTATATTGGTTTCTTTGAGGTTTAATAGGGTTGGATGGTCACTTCCTTTTATTGATATATCTTTATATCGTTTCTAGTTGCAGCACACAGCATTGTGATTTTAAAGAATCTACACTAATAAAAGAGAAACATGCAAATTGGTGTCATTTCACTACGCCCACCAGCCAATCAGGATGAGTATGCAAATTAACCCAACAAAGGTGGCGGTTAATTTGCATATGCAGGCGAGGAGCGAAGGCTGAAGATGACTGAAGACTGAAGAAAGGGGCTGCGGCCGGACCAAAGGCCTGGGTCCCAGGTGCCGGAGGAAAACCAATGCTGGCAGCCAGGGAAGGAAGGCCTATTGCATGAATCTTCGTGCAACGGGCCTCTAGTGACTTAATAAAAGGGGAAAAAGGCATGTAGGATATCCTCTTACATAAACACAAGGAAGGCTCTAGCACTATGGTGCCTGCGGCTGAGTGGCCCTCAGTTTGCCTGTGTGGGGGAATGTGTGTTTGGCTGTTTGGAGGTGGCTGTGGGTCACACTGGCTGTGAAGTTAACATGCTCTCTACGGTGTCTTTGGGAAGGAGAAGGGAACCCCAGAAACCTGTATTCGGTCTTCAGGGAGCTCAGTCTTCATGGCCAGCATTTCCCGGGCATACACGTCAGGGTAGTGTGCCTCGCTGAACGCCTTTTCCAGCTCTTCCAGCTGCTGGGTAGTGAAGACAGTCCTGCAGGGAGGCCCAGAGGACATGGGGCACATGGCCAAAGGAGGATGCAAGGCTTCCCAGCGCAGGGACCCTGTGCCTACCTCCCCCATCGTCCACACCCCAAAAGGCCACCTCATAATAACTGAATACCCCACTTCTGAATGATTAACCTTTGGAAAGTTTGGTTCAAATAAGAAAGAGTTCTTCAGCATTTTTTTCCCCTCCTCAATGTATTCATCAACTCATTCTAAGAAGACCCATTTTAAAGGCCCACAAAATTGTGTCTTTTAAATGCTGCAAAGATTGTCCTGCAGCCTCCTGGGATTTGCAAAATTATGTTCCTAAATGGTTACTGTACCCTTCCCACTGCCGACCTGGAGCCCAATGGGCCTTCTGTAATGCAGGACCACCCACTCTCAGATGCTGTGTGTCCCGGGGAAAGGGTCAGAGAGGATGGCCTGGCCCTGTACCTGTGCCGCCTCTTCTTCCTCTTGCCAGGGTTTGGGGACACCTTCAGGTCACTCCTGTTTCCAGGTAGGCTTTCCTCATCTGTTGGCATAACGAGAAAGAGGGGACTTTAAAGGTGAGCATATTCTTCACTTTATTTTCTGAATTTTAATACGAGGATTAAACCTATGAACTTGTTGAAAAATGTGAGTAATATTTAGCTTAATACAAGCTAGCATTTTTAGCACTCACTACCATCCAGCATTGTTCATGCATTATTGCAATTCTTCTTCATAAAATTAGAGAACTCCGAGGTAGCTGCTATTAGTATCCTATTCCTACAGATGAGGAAACGGAGGCACAGAGAGATTAAGTCATCTGTCCATGATCACACAGGTACTAAATGGTGAAGTTGGGATTCAAACCCCAGACTGTGTGAAGCCAAAGCTAATCGAATTTTCTATCCCCACTCAGCTCTCAAATTCATCCATTTCCTTCTGCTTCCAAGTTCCTTATCTTAATCAGCACACCAACATTTCTCAAAGGAGGGCTGAAGTTTGTGACATCAGAAGTCTTATCAAAACTGCACTCCTGCCCCAGCAGGTTTGGCTCAGTGGATAGAGCGTGGGCCTGCGGACTGAAGGGTTCCAGGTTCGATTCTAGTCAAGGGCACATGCCTGGGTTGCAGGCTTCATCCCCAGTAGGGGGAGTGCAGGAGGCAGCCAATCAATGCTTCTCTCTCATCATTGATGTTTCTATATCTTTCTCCCTCTCCCTTCCTCTCTGAAATCAATAAACATATTTATATTTTAAAATGTTATATTTTATTTTATATTTTAAAAACTGCACTCCTTGCCCTGCTGTATCAGTTCTGAATCTCTGGATGTGGGGTCCAGAAACTCATTCTTGACAAATATGCTTGATGATTCTTAGGTGCACTTGAAAAAATATTAAGAACTCTACTATGCTTTATCTTTTGATAGCCTTTTTATTAAAAGATCCGTATAAAAAGGAAGGTTAGAATATCAAACTATTGTCAGATTCATTGTTAAAAGGCATTTTTGCCTCAAAGTATGAAAAATAAATTAAAGGAAAAATAATATTAGTTTTGCACCAACATCAATTAGCTCACCAGAAAACTGTATGCTTAGATTATAATGCCCATGCTGTCCAATCAGGTACCCTTACACACACATCATTGAACATATGAAATGTGACTGGCCCAAACTGAGACCTGCTGTAAATGTAACATATTCTGTTGATTTAGAAGACTTACTACCCCAAAAGTAAAATATTAATGATTTTTAGATTCATTATATGTAAATGTCATTCTATATGTATTGGATTAAATATAATATAGTATTTAAATTCATTCCACCTATTTATTTTTCCTTTTTAATGTCTGGATCAGTTGGTTGGGTGTTGTACGTGCACTGAACAGTTGCTGGTTTGATTCCCAATCAGGGCACATACCTGGGCTGTGGACTCAGGCTGGACCCTCCGGGCCCAGTAGGGGGCGTGCAGGAGGCAGCCAATTGATGTTTTGCTCTACATAACCCTCTCCCTTCCTCTCTCTCTAAAATATCAATAAAAAATCTTTTTAAAAAGAGACATTTTCTTCACACTCTCAGACACATATTTCTATTGGGTAGCATTGCTCTTGATCTTCCAGAAATTCCCTCACAGACTAAGATTTAGTTGCATTTTGCTTTGCATTTTATCAGTGCCCACAGAGAAAGATCCCATCCTATGTAGGTGGTTTCTGCATTTTTTTGGGGGGGGGGCCTAATTGAGGGTTCATTTTATTTTATAGACTCATGAAATAAAGTCCTTTTGGAGTTGAGTAAAAGCTCACTTGCCTACTGCCTTCCTTTTATCAGTGGAGACCCAGTGTACCCTTTTTGCCTTGGCTGCCTGGATGCTCAGCTCTAGATTATACTGCATAGTTCCTCTGAGTCCACCTTTTCTTGTGTAATTTTCCCTAACACCCTAAACGTTTCCCTAAACGTCTGTTTCTAGGCCCTTGTCCTTTAAAGAATGTTATTGCTTCCTTCTCTTTCCCTATAATCCGCATCGATGTCTTTGAGGAAATAGGTGGCCTCAGAACAAAGTGCTAAGCCTAACTACAATGAAATTGACGAGGTTGCTTCCTTTCTCAAGAGTAGGGAGGAGGAGGGGCGGCGCCAGGAGAGAAGCGAGGTGCTCTTCACGGACCCGTCAATCATTCAATCAATTCTGCAAAGGCGTGAGCACCCACGGGTTACCGCGTTCTGTGTTGCTGGTGGTAAGACAGGCTCAAGCCTTCCCGACCTACGCGGTTCCCAGGGTCGAAATTCGCGCGGGGCGGAGGGGAAAGGCCCTCGGCAGAGCCAGACCAGTGCTGGGTACTCCAGACCCCCAGGATCGGCCCAAAACCGGCGGGTAGTGGTACTCACCAGAATCCGAGGATAGGCAGGGACTTAGGAAGAGGCAAGTGGGGGTGCGGGTGCGGGGATGCGCCTCCCCTGGACCCCGCGGTGATCTGGGGTCCCGACCTCCCTTGGATCTAGGATCTGGGGGTGGGCTGATGTTGCATTACTCCTGCGCGGCCCAAACCCGAGGGAACAGGGTCAGGATGGGATGGGATGGCCTAGTTACCCGACGTGGAGACGCTTTCGCTGCGCTGCTGGCGGCCAAGCGGGGACGGCGGGCGGC